TGGGCCTATATTTGCCAGCCATTCTGACACTTCGTCATATGATTCAAATTGTCCGCCATTTGTTTTTTTTATTCGTAACTACAATCCAATTCTTCGCTTGCGCGATGCGAGAAAACCTGTTTAATCGGTACTACAATAGACGAGTACAAATACCGTGTGATATTTGTACGCCTCTATGGCATTATTTGTACTCGTCTAGGTGTAGTTGGATAATAATGCCAAATATTGCCAAATATTGCCAATAATGAATGTATTGCGCTGCTAAATTATTTACACACCATGTCATTTACGAGCGAAAATAACAATATTGCCAAATATTACAAATAATGAATGTATTTCGCTGCTAAATTATTTACACGCCATGTCATTTACAAGCGAAAATAACTGAGTCGCATCGACTTTAACGAACGTACTAGATAAGACAAATATTGCCAATAATGACTGCGTTGCGCTGCTTAATTATTTACACGCCATGTCATTTACGAGCGAAATAACTCGTATCGGCATTAACGAACAATTCAAAGATACTTTGTCCTAGACATAAAAGATAAGCTGAAGTGATGGGCATGAGGCGATTAAAATAGCCTGTCTAAAAAGTGTCAATGCTACCACATTATTACGGCAAGCGGGGATAGCTCAAGGCGAGCGCAGGGCGAGTTATGCGTAAGAAGAGGGGCATACAAAATAATTATCTTATTTCGATATCATTGTAACTCATACACCACAGTGAGAGTAGCTGTTATAATAATTAGAATTAACTCGTGCGGGTCAATATGTCTCAGAAATAAGCTGTCTGTAAAGTTTAAGGCGGCCTTTGGTCTGACTCAACAAAGCTCCAGTATATCAAAATAAAGCGAGAGGAAGACATACAGCCTAACTGCCTAACTAGGAATTGTTTTGAAGTGGTACAGAGTGAGAACTTATTCGCACTAAGCTGATGATTCAGGAAGACTATACCAACTCTGATCACAGTTATTCGTCCTCCTGCTTTATGTTGCGACAGCTGTCGCTAATTGTCAGTGTTAATTTTTCCTGAGCCATCATCCTAGTCTATAGGATTTCCAGTCGTTACTGATGGGCTGGACCAGCCTCATCCTTTCTCGGTTCATTTAAATCCCGGCCCTTGTTCGTTCGTCTTGCAGTCAAAGATCTGTACTGCCACCGGTGAAACACTTGGAAAATAGATCTTCTAATCTCTAGAGAAAAAGTGATACAATATTTTTAATTGAGAAGTCAACAATTACAAACTTTACAACCTTCATGGAAATGAACGTTTTTTAGTATTCCCCGAACAAGAGGAGCGGCGTAACAGAGCTCCAAACTCCGCATTCATATGAATAAAATAAAATGATCTAAAAAAGAAAAAACAATAAAGTACTTAATTGCTTGCTGAACAACTCTCTGATCCTTCTTCTGAACTTTCTGCTTCTGATCCATCCACTTAACCGCCTCCTGAACAGCCCAATGAACTTAGCCAGCCCGATCTTCCGTCTGAACCCCCCGATCTTCCGTCTTAACAACCCGACCAATCTTCTGAATCTACCCCTACGGACTCACCTCTCATCACTTCTCAAGGACTCATCGCCACAATCAAATCTGCCATCAAACTACCTTCCGGCCGAACACCTGGCAAACTGCCCGACGAATTTTCTCTTGCGTGCTCCCGAAAATCTAATGCGCCAACAGTTGTCACCGGAAAACCCCGTTCTCCTATCCCTGTACCTACCGCATCACACACTCCCATATTGGTGACTCCTAACAACCCAGAAAAAGAGATGAAAACTACTCACGAACTGAAAAGAAAATCATCATCATTTGAACTCTCGACCCCTACCTCAGAGAGGAAAAACGCGAGAAACAGGTCAAGTAAGCTTATGATTCTTAAGTGAGTCTTTTTTCCAAGAATCTTCAAGGGAAATGTGTCAGTGTCTTTTTTTCCAAGAATCCTTCAAAACTCTAACTATCAATGCAAGGGGGCTAGCAAACCCCCTTACCTACAATTTCTTGTTTGATTTGATCGAGAAGTCCAACTGTGATGACTGTTTTGTGCAAGAAACGTTAATTCATCCTGAATCTACCATCAAATCTCTATCCCGTAGATGGCTGGGTCGTGCTTTTTGGTCCCCTGCCTACGGAAAACAGGGTGGTGTCGTTACCTTGATTTCTTCGAAATGCTCAGACGAAATCTAATCTTGGAAGAAGGAAAGGACTGACTAGGTCGTATTGTCAGTGTTTTGATCATGTGCAACGACGTTGATATTAATCTAGTCAATATCTACGCTCCTACCAATCCTACCGAACGGAAAATGTTTTTGTTTCGATTCACGAATTTTTTTATTCCCTCCTCTGCGATTATCATCGGAGGAGATTTTAATTGTTACGACAACCCCCTCGATAAATTTGGTGGGAATATCTCTATACACAAAGAATATGAATCTTTAAAAAGGGATTTCGCGCTTTCAGAAGTTTGGCGAAATTTGCATCCAAGATCAAGAGAATTTACGTGGTTTAATTTCACACAGTCAATTGGGAGTAGACTTGACAATTTTTTTTATTTCGAAAGATTTATATACCGTGGCGGGCCATTGAAGTATGAAAACTTAATTAGACGGCTACGATTAGAGGGAAAAGGGAGCTGGCTGTCTAAAACAGTACA